CCCTAAGAGTCCCTAATTTCTCCTTACAATATCACCGTTGAATCAAACATTAAGGTCAGGAGAATAAAGGAAATGATCAACAACTAATGTTGGGGTGTAAAGGGTTACCAGTTGCAACTTCTGTCAGTTGTAGAGTTGAGTACAAATATTGAAACTAAAAATTAAGATGATTATGATCATAGTTATGTTTAACTATTTGAAAAACTTAATAGTTATTTCTGAATCCTTAGGCATTCGTGGGGAAGTGAGTGTTATTGTTAAAGTGGATTTTTTTACTGATTCTAACAAGTTTCGACAGAGTTCATGTGGTGTGCAGTTCTTCTACAGTAAGTAGAATTCTGAAATTATGCAATTCTTACATAATTCCACAGGATGTATTGAAGTAGAAGCCAAGAGACAATGAAATTATTATTAATTTTATTTAATTTATTAGATTCGCCGACAGGCAGGGACACCGCAACAGCTTGTGCCAATTACCGCGGGTCCAGTAAACACACCCATCCCACCCTAGGGGAGGACATCCACCACACAGTAATCTCATGCATGGGAAATTAACATCTCCTACCCCTAACCCTGCAGGAGACGGGGCCTACGGTTTATTCGTCCTTATCCGAGAAGACTAGAATATCTAATATCCATTTCTTGATATTATAGAAAGGTAGCAAATTCTCCTCAGTTATTTTAAGACCCTGAGTGTTGGTCCAGCCGGGGCTTGAACCCTCGACCTCCTGCACAACAGTCCAGCGCTCTACCAATTGAGCTAACCAGGAGCAAGTTGAATAATACACCTTGTATTGATGGTTTGACATAATTATGTAAAATATGAGTGGAAATTTTGCTCAATGCTCTTACTTAGTTTTCTTTTCCCCTGAGAGGCTTATAAAAATAGCTGACTGAGTCAAGTAGGGTGTTCTTGTTACATATTGTACAGTCGCTGAAGTTTGACAGAGATGGTGCAAAACTGTGTTGAAGAAAGTCCAAATGGTAATTGGTTTTTCCAATAAATAAATGAAACTAGCCAAGAGGTTCATTTTAATCAGAATTTATCTTGCAAGATTACGATATAATTATAATTGTGAGAGGTAATATGAATGAAATTTATGTTACCTAAAAATCATTTAATATCAATTCATAATCTTGCAAGGGTTTTTTTCTAGGTTCCTCTTAGATTAGTGATGATCTTTCAACATCAAGAATGCTATTTAGGGTATCCCAAAATGCAAAAAACTTTGTATACCAGTGTAAAATTTAAACTTTGTATTTCAGCTTGTTCTGTCCCATATGGCCATAAAGCTCTAGCTATTCATGGTTTTGTTGAGGAGCTTGTTGTTAATGATGATCCAGAATACCAATGGATTGATAAGATCAGAACACCAAGATCTTCTAATGAAGCACGGCAGAGGCTATTTACCAAACTTTCAGGTTCTAAGAATCACTGATCTTCTGTTAATTATTAAAACATGTGTCACAGACAATCTTAGCTTACTGAGAGATCAAAATTAAACTTACAGATATATTAAGGAGGCTGACTAACGAAAATTATAGACTGAGACCAGACGTTAATTTTAATTTAATTTAATTTATTAGCTTCGCCGACAGGCAGGGACCCCACAACAGCTTGGGCCAATTACTTCAGGCCCTAGTACCACCCATCCCACCCCAGGGGAGGACATCCACCACACAGTGGTCTCGTGTGTGGGAAATTAATGTCTCCTACCCCAACCCTGCAGGAGACAGGACCTACGGTTTATTTGTCCTTATCTGACAAGACTAGAAGTTCTATCCATTTCCTGATATTATAGAAAGGTAGCACATTCTCCTCAGTAATTTTTAAGACCTTGAGTGTTGGTCCAGCCGGGGCTAGAACCCTCAACCTCCCACCCAACAGTCCGGTGCTCTATCCATTGAACTAACCGGGAGGCGGTTTCAAAAACATTTCAAACACATTTTTGATAAGTGGCTGCTAGAGGTGTAAAGTAGGTGGCTGTGCCTGTAAAAGGGGCTGTAAGGCCAAATGCAAACACAAGAGTCTGCATGCAGAGGGAACAAGATGGCAGTAAGTTAGAGTTCTTTTAGGTGATGGCAGACTGCCAGTAACTGGCTTTTATTGAAACACCTGAGAAGCCAATTTTTTTGCCACAAGTGACTCGTCATAATGAAAATTATCATATAACCTGTCTGGCCCCACTTTCCCAATCCACAATGAATTGTGAATTTCTTAATCTGACTTGCAAAAATTAAGGAAAAGTTTCTATGGCAGAACCTTTTTTGTGGTTTTCCTGCATGCACCAGTCTATTGCATCCTTTTAAGATAAAACGCACTTTTCAAATTTTTATAAACTTAGTATGATAAATATTTAATAACTGGCATTTAATAATAATAAAGTCTTTATTCCATCATAAGATAAAACTACATATCTTATGTTACAATGAATTTGGAAAAACTACAGAAATCTACATACATATTATGAATTAAAAAGTATGTCATTACAATAAATGGAGCTTAAATATCAACCTATTTACAAAGGTGTTCATAAATTTGTCAGGTAGGAAGGGAAAATATATGGCTCTCGTTCATGATGCACTTACCTCACTGCACTCGGGCCATACATCATGACCTGGAGTTAAATATTTTTCTGGTCTGGCCCTCTCACTTAGTCAATAGTTACATATTATTTACTAGTACTTATTACTTGATACACCTAACATTTATTGGGTAGTTAAACAAACTGATTGTAAATGATCAATTCAAGTGCAGAAAATTTACCTTCTAAGGTGTTATTGTTTGTAGTTAAAAATTAAACAAATGTATTTTACACCTGTGAAATAACCAAGACTTGGTCACCAATGTTTTGCTTAATAGGAGAACTGCAACGGAAAATTGGTCTTAAAGTTTTAGAGGCTGGAGGAAACACTGTTATTGGGTAAGATGTACACTTTTTACAAAGAAAAAAAGGAAGTTTTATGGAGAGTTTAGATATACTGCTTAAACTTAACCCTTTCATTTCCTAAATCTTATCAGTAATTCCCATCAGTAATTCCCATCATATAAATCAGTAATCATATCATATAAATCTTATGATGTTGATTTAGAGAATCTGGTATGGGATCAAATTATAATTCTTAGTAAGATATAATTATCTTTATTCTCATCACCTGTCTCCTTGATATTGTATCAATGTTGAAGGAGAAATTTTGTAAGGTAGGAGAAATTTTGTCCAAGTCATTTGTGTGAATTAAAGGTTTAAATCTGCACATAACTTGTATATAAGCTCTTAATATTTCAGCTAGTTTACTGTTATGCCCAGAGTGTGGATGGCATGGTTTCATTATTTTCACTTAATTTGCTTTAACTTTTACTTTCTTTTGGCCAGTTATCGTCAGTGTTTTGACCTGGAGGGTGAATATGGAATTGTAGTGCGGGGTATTGGTACTGCTGTGACACTAGCCAATGTTCTTACTACAGTAGGCACCAATTCTCACCCATCCACTCCTGTGCATCCATTAACTTCATCAGGAGAAGTTGGTCCAGGAAGCCATGTCTCAGACTCGGGGTGAGTTGCCTGGCAAAGTGTGATAGCCTTTCTTTAATGCCCAGTAATCTTTCAGGAGAAGAAAATTTTCATGTGTTATATATGCGCAATTATTCCATCCTGGGGGGGAGAAGAAATACTCCTAGTTGCTTCATGCTACAGAAACTGGAGTTAATCACCGGCCTAATGGGCCACTAGGCTTGTAAACAGACTTTAGCTTATATATGCTCAATCAGTCAATCCAGTTATGTGGTTACCCCTGAGTTTACTAACTGTGCATGGATCTGGCACTCGGTGAAAAATAAACAGAGTAAGATACAATAACCAGTGGTAGATGAATAAAGGGGGTGAGTTTCCAGCAAAACTGTGGTGCTGCTTCAGTGGGGGTATTACTGGACAATTTGGTTTTATCAATGAAGTTGAAATTGTAAATCGGCCACCATAAAGAGATAAAAGCTGATGTTTCGAGCCATTCACTCTGACAAATTACCTTGTTACCCCAACCCATGCAGCACCACAGTTTCTTTTGAAACCTACGCCCTTTATTCATTGGTATTACAAGACAATTTGGTCTTATCAGCTGAGCTGTTAAAATGTAAACTGGCCATGTTAAAGAGTTACTGATCAGAAGCTGACGTTTTGATCATTAATTAGCCCTTCTCCAGTTGGAGAGTGAATAGAGGAATAGTGGGTCATGTGTAGTTTATAGCCACTCCATTGGGGGGAACATGGTAACATGAAGGCACAAGTTATAATCAATTATAAAGGCTTATAGTTTCGAAAGAAACTGTTTGGGGCTGCGTCGGTGGGAGTAACGAAATAATTTGGATATATTAACAAAGTTGAAATGGTAAACTGGTCACCGTAACGATTACAAAAGCTGAGGTTTCGAGCGTTAGCCCTTTGTTGCTTCGACAAAGGGCTAACGCTCCAAACATCAGCTTTTATAATCATTACGGTGGCCAATTTACCATTTCAACATTGTTCATATATCGAAATTATTATAATCAATTAGCTGTCGACTGAAAGAATTTGTTGATACTCTGGGGATGAAGAGTGCTGATTTTTGAGAAAGTGTTTTTTTCCCTCAGGTTTATCTTCCCAGACACATTGCAAAGCTTACCAGTTCCATCTACTAAAGTTATGACTCCTTCCCGTCGTCGTATTTCATCTTCTGATTCTGATCCAATGCCAGATTCTTCCCCAAAAGGTAAAATATATTCAAACATAAAATATGGTCTCCTGATGGCAATTATGCCACAAGAGGATTTTTTTTTTTCAAGAATTGTGCAACTAATTTTAAGTGGTATGCAGGATACTGTGAAGACAATATTTTACAGGACTGTGTTTTAATTTGTTGATATTTAGATCGTGTCGCTGTTCTGGCTAGCAGTGCAGGAGTTGATAGTAGTGGTGGTAGTGCAGGTGGGACTTCTTTTCCCATACCCAAGGGAATTTGGCAGCCAGTCATTCAAAAGCAGAAAACTGTGGAAGATCTGGTAATTCACTAGTAAGAATTGTTAAGCAAAATTAAAGATCAATTTGGAAAGTATTAGTTTTAATTAAGGAGCTGTGTTTTTTATTTTGTCAATAGGTCATTTCACAGTAGTGTAATTAGTTGCCAAGCCTTTGATTTGGAGTGCTATAATTATTATAGTGAGGCTGAAGGTGACCTTGTTGTGATGGAGACCACTACCTGGTTAGCATCATGGGGTTAACAAATTAATTTAAATGTGAAGAGTAGTAGTGCTTTTATTATAACAAGGTCACCCTTAGCCTCACTCCTGTCCAAAGGCTTGACAACCAAGCACGCAACTGTGAAATGGACCATTCAACATGAGGCATGATCTTCATTCAACATGGTTTGAATAAGCTAGGAAATGCAATATAATTATGCTTAAAAGATATATTTTCAGCCTCTCAGATGCACTTGATGGTTTTTTTTCTCCTCCAGGGGGGTGTAAGGAAAAATAAATACAGGGTGTGAGTTTCAAGACTGAATTACACGTAGCATGCAATGGATATTTTTTCCAGTCATTCATGCTGCAAGTTTGGTATCTGCCTCATTCCTTTCTCCTTGTACATGATGTGTTGTGCACACTTGATGCTCTTGGCAGTTCACGCTGTATGCTTTAGAATAATTTAAAAGCAAACTGCGAAATGGCTTGAATTTCATGATACTGATGTTTGATGCATGATGCTGCCAGTTTATTCATTTGACTAAATTATGGGACTAATGAATCAAATCTCATAACCTGCAAATGTACAGAAGGGATTAAATATGTCTCCTTCTCCCCAATATCAAAACAATTAATTTTCATGCAAAAGGTAGAGAAGGATAGACAAACTTGACATGTATACACCTATGCATTTCCCTTGGCACTAAAAGGGAGGATTCACTTATAACAAATTCTTAGGTTGGTGGTCATTTTCTCTATTCTCATGATCTTAATGAATGACTCAGCAGTATATCTGTAAGGAGAAATTAGGGGGCGACGCTAAAAGCCAGAACAGTGGAATGGCGGAATGGTGAAATATGACCTCAAATCCTAAAAAAACCCGGAACGGCGGAAAATGACCCCAAATCCTAAACACAGAACAGCGGAAAACGACCCCAAATCTTTAAATACGGAGTGGATGACAGGGCATGTTGCACACATTTTGTACAAAGACAGTCAAGCACTTGGCTCATTCATTCCCATAATGATAATGGGCGTGACCAAACTTAACAGACTAGTGTGAGAGCAAGATAGGTTTGCATGGAGTCATGTGCATGGGAATTTCTCATGGCATGAGAAGACAAAAGAGAGTTAACAGAAGGAAGCCAATAAATTTGTTCATGGAAGAATAAGTAATAATTAAGTCAGACCAAAGAAGTTCAGATATTGTGTCGCTTGTCCTCTTCTTAGTTTTCTCTTAAAGGTTAACTGAATTTACAAAGGCATAATGATTTAGAATGTGCAGTTAACTAAAGGTGAAAATCATACAACGCCTCGATTGATTTATTGGGAATTGATTGTTAGGCAATGAGCTTCACCTGCCTATAATTCCGTCTTTGGGCTTTAGGGTAATTTTCCACCGTTCCGTCTTTTAGGAGTTGCAGCTAGCAAATGACTGGAAAAAATGGGGTCAAATCCAAGGGCAATTGGGTTCTGTTTGAGTAAGTCCAAGTAAGGGGGGGGGGGGTTTCGAGCTCACCGGGTTAGAGTTAGGGGGGTTCTACTGACAGGATCTATTCTCACCAGGCAAATTAGACAAATAAGTGAAATAGCCTCTTTTTTTGTACAGAACGTTTATTTCTTCCGGTGATATGTAAGCCTTAAATTTCATAGTAGGATGGTGGTGTTTTGAACACCTGGTCGAGAAGAAATTCTTCAAATTCTTCTTGACGGCTTACTTCTGTTAACTTTCTTTTGTCTTCTCACGCCATGAGAAATTCCCATGCACATGACCCCATGCAAACCTATCTTGCTCTCACGCTATTCTGCTAAGTTTGGTCACACACATTATCGTCGTAGGAATGAATGAGCCAAGCGCTTGACTGTCTTTGTACAAAATGTGTGCAACATGCCCTGTTATCTGTTCCGTGTGTTAGGATTTGGTGTCATTTTCTGCTGTTCTGGGTTTTAGGATTTGGGGTCATTTTCTGCTGTCCCAGGTTTTAGGATTTGGGGTCATTTTCCACCATTCTGGGTTTTAGGATTTGGGGTCATTTTCTGCTGTTCTGGGTTTTAGGATTTGGGGTCATTTTACGCTGTTCCAGATTTTAGGATTTGGGGTCGTTTTCCACCATTCCACCATTCTGCCATTCTGGCTTTTAGGATTGCCCGAAATTAGGTGCTGGCACTCTCAGAGTTTAAAGGGTTAAGTGAAAACCTGTAAAGGGGTTAATGCAAGTAGATGAGAATATTTGAACATGTTATTGGTATTTAAAAGCCCCATATATGGATTGGGTGACACCCTCTGAGATGTATTGTTTTAAAGTGATTTATTTATTGGAAAAAGTAATATCAATCTCATGTTTGGTATAATAATTTTCAGGAGTTTCCTTTCTTCACCATCACAAAATTCCCTTCTGGTTTCCTGAGGCACATTGGTGGAGTTGTAACTGCAAGATCAGTGAAGCTTCTCGACAAAATCAATCACCCAGGTACTGTTTGAAAATTACAATTTAGTGAATACAAATTATTGTTAAAAGTCTCTATTATGTAACAATTCTGTTCCTTTTTTTTTTTTTTTCTCTCACCCTCTGAATCACTCTTTCCTCTAAAAAGCTAATTCATGCTGCAGCCATAGCGCATCACCTTTGGTTGATGTATAGTATATACTTACATAAGGTATGGAAGCTCTTCATGAACTAAGCTCTGTTATGGAATATTACCAATGAATAAATTAAGGGGTTAGTTTAACAAGATAATTTGGTTTTATCAACTGATCATGAGTTGATAAAATGTGAATTGGCCACGGTAAATAGTTTCAAAGCTGACATTTTGAGCGTTAGCCCTTTGTCAGCGTGAATGATGAGGGGCTAACACTCAAAAAGTCAGCTTTATAACTCTTTACAGTGGTCAATTTACATTATAAACTCATGATAAAACCAAATTAAGTGTAATATTACTGTTTGATTTTCTCTCTTACAGATGAACCAGAAACTCGAGATGCATGGTGGAGTGAAGTTCGAATGGAAATTCGATCCCATGCCAGAGCTCTTGGCTGTCATGCTGTTGTGGGATATTATGAAGTTACGAGCATATGGTTAGCTTTTTAACCCTTTACACTCTAACAGTATTCATATTCCTTGCTTTTCTCTGTACATTATTTTTGGTACAGAAAAGGAGAAATCCTTTAAAGTGTCTAAACTGCCAACAGGGCTTCTATAGTTTTGGTATGTATTTAACATGTAAAAAAGTATTCTTAAATAAAAATTGGATTCTGACGAGTCTTCGCCCTGAAATCGGGGTTTAAACTTCCCCCTTTGGCCACACCCATTGAAGGTGACTGTGAGTCGGGGCAAAAAAGAGATTGGGTTCAGAATGGGTCGTGACGTCAAATCAGGAACACGCCAAATCCCACCAGTGGTTCATTTCACTGTTTTTTTTTCAGTAAAGTAGAGTTTTCGGAGACATAAATATGTCTGATAGATGTGTTGTAAGAGTACTGCGTTTGTCAAGCAAAGTAACAACACGACACTCGAGACGCTCCTGGAGTGACGTCACTCATCACCTTAAGCAGTCTACTTCATTGGGCATGGCCGAAACGGGAACTTTAAAGTTCGCTTTTAGGGTGAAGAGGTGTCAGAATCAAATATTTTTTTTTTTGAGAATACTTTTTTATTATATACATACTGAGATTTACGCACTGAAAAGCCGCAGAGTAAACTTTCGTTCGCAAACCGATGTAAACCAATCAAATGTCGCGTATCACTTTTCCCACATGTAAGAAAAGCGATACGTCCAATCAGGAGCCGCATATCATGTTTTTTCACGTGTGAGCCGTGCAGCAAGTTCAAGTTTTCATTCAAGGCTGGTTGACGCGGTTTCGTGCACCGTACAAGCCATCGCTTTGCAAATAGCTTTTATTCGCATTTCTTCCGTTGTTAATATTGAAAGTTCCTGTCTCGGCGAAAACCATGAGTGAAAAGCATTTCATTATCCACAATTCATAACTTTTGGATTTTACACACTGCATTTTGTACACCACACAAGCCATTGCTTTGCAAATAGTTTTTATTCGCATTTCTTCCATCGTTAATATTGAAAGTTCCTGTCTCAGCTAAAGCCATGAGCGAAAAGCGTTTCGTTATCCACGATTCATAACTTTTGGATTTTTGTATATGATTATTGGTACTGACATGTTACTTTGCAGTGATGAGCTAATAGTGCTGTCAGCATCAGGAACCGCAGCATGTATAGACCTACAGCTAGCAACAGCAGAACCTACTGGAGTTGGTCTTGGCATTCTCAGTATGTGTATGGTTATTTTAAGCAGGGTAAATTAGTGCAAAAACATTGAATTTAGTTAAATTTACAGACTGTTAGCATGATATTTTTGGGTCAAAATGAACATTTTGAATGTCCTGATTTGTGTTGAATGCAACAGGGCCTGCAAATTTCTCTAGAACTTTCATTTATCTCCCCCTCTACCCCATTTCTATGTTTACTGGGGGGGGGGGACTTTCAAGTAACTTTTTTGAGAGGAATTAGAAGCTAGATTTCTGTATATTATACTAAGTAGAGGGTTGTCAATCACCTAGTAAGGGGAGGCATTGCAACTTTGTTTGCCACTTGATTGTAATCAAGCAGAACCACTCAAAATATAATGATACACGGCTTTGATAGGACAAGAGCAAGCTACATACACAGAGAATTTGAGTTGAACCTAACTATTTTTAAAAATTCCCTCTCTGGGTTTTTAGCAGCTAGGAAAATCACACTGAACTTATTTTCCTTGGATCTCAGATTTTGACTTCGCCAGCAATACCACCTTAAATTCTAATTTACCACTTAAGTTGCATATTTGTGTAATGTATTTTTAGCACCTGTTGCAGAAAAAGGCCCAGCTGTACCATCAAATGCAGCAAGTCATACAGAACAGGCTGCCCCACTTCAAGTGGACATTGGTGATCATGATGGGTGAGTGGAATTGTCAACCTGGCAAAGTATGACAGGGACGTTGGCTGAGAAACATAAGATAAGAAAAAATTAAATGTCCAGTAACAATTACAGTTGTTTGTGTTTCCCCTCAAATGATCCATGTG